AAGGCCCACTTTTGTGAAATAAATCAAAAACAAATAGTACACGGGGCAGAGGCACAAATAATAGTTTCTCCAAGTCCATTAAATGCGTGTACTGTGAAAACGATGATTAAGTAAGTTAAAGAGATACTCAGTTTGGAGTTCATGACCTTTTCTGTATGTCTCACTTCCTTCTGCAAATTCTCTGTTGAAGCAGATTTAGGCTCCCACTCATTTCATCAGCTTCCCCTTCTATGGAAGTATAGTAACTTCATCATTTTGTTCCGCAATCCACAAGATCTGCGACTCCTTTTTGGGGGCACTTGGTTGTTTTTTTACAAGGTAACCAAAATGATTTTCAGTCACATAAGGCAGATGTATGCACACAAGGGGGGGTGTTTCTCTATGAGGTTCCATCTGTCAGTATTAGTGGGGAAAAACAGACACATCCTCAGTCGCATATAACTGGCTGTTGCCATAGAGACTGACAGTTGCCTAACGCACCTCCATTTGCCTTGTGACACCATGTGCCTCTGGTGACCTCTGACCAAACCACGCCTCTTCCACCCTCTCTCTATAATTAGACCACCTCCACTTCTTAGTGCCAAACTTGTTTCCCTCCCTGGTCATGTCAGCTCTGCCTCTCTGCCCTGTTGAGATTATGACAGAATTGACCAATGAAACCCCTTTTTGCTTTTGAGTCATAATGGAAGCTAAATCACTCTCCGAGTAAAGAGCTTTAAGGGTATTATACTACACCTCCACCCAAGGTCAATGCCAAAGGGCAACAACTGCCTGAGGATGGACGTCATTTGAATTTGATAGATATGTAGAATGATGTATGGTATCTCAAACATTGAAACGCTGACATATGAATCAAAGATGTGATCTCTTCGGGGGTCATTGGGGAGTATGGGGATTAACAATAGAACATTGGAGTACTTCTCATTTGCAGTCCCAATGTGAATTTCATAGTCGTATGGAATATGGAATATGACTTGTATTGCTTGGCATTATCCCCCTTGACTATATATGATTAACAGGAATAATCTTATCAAGTCAAATGAAACTAGTATTATTCTTCTTCTGCTGATTCACAATGGCCTGAGGGAACGAGGGGCCCCTATGCAGTCTTACCAGCACTCTTTGAACTTTACATATACATAATATAGGTGAACACCTAGGCCTCAAAGCAAAGGCTGAACTGTCATTCATAACTATAAGTTGAGCTATTAATGTGCCTGGTGTTTGACATGAAGCAGCTCACCATTGGGGAACAGGGGGTGAGGCACCAAATGGGCTCTCTTGTCAGAAGATTGTGAGCGATCACACAACGTGAATACGCAGAGGAAGCATTGTTCTAGGCTTTGCGCCCCGCATTTTTTCTTTCTCTGTGCCCCGTTTCTCTCCTTCCATACCTCACTCTCCTCTGGCACTTGACATGCAGGCGGGGTGAGCACACGGGGGGTAGAGGAAAAACAATCATGCTTGGCAGTCATAAATCCACAGGATGTAATTCACCAGCTATTCACTATTAATTCATTGAGTGTTTATAAATGTGGTTAACAAAAGAGAAAAGCAGTCTGAATGCTAAAGTAAATTAGCCTGTAATTAGACTGTGATTCATGAAATTCCCTTTCAAAAGTGTTGACACAATTAATAGCATGTGAAATTGCTAAATAATCCAATACAGAATGATACGACACACTTGTGTTTATGTGCCTCTCGCCTCTTTGAAAAACATAATCCCGTTATCACTGTGGTGACACCGTGTAAATATGTTTCTCCTCAGATGTGGTCGCCGGAACCGAGCATAACGTCGGCGAAATGAAACAGGCGGAAGAAACAGTGTGAGCAAGACGGCAAGTTATGGACGTGACAGTGACAGGCATTATATTTGTTCTATAACCTTTCAGCGTTGAAAAGTGCGTTCGCAGCAAAAATGGAGATTTCTTGATTATCGGGGTGTGGGATTGAACAGATGCAGTGTGGCTTTCTGTGCCCGTGTGTAGTCTCCTTACATTTGTGTAACTCCCTCTCAACTTAATATTTACGTGTGTGTGCATGCTAAAAACAAAATGTGGGTAGTGAAAGACGCCCTTGCTGCTTTTCAATTCTACAATGTAAGCATTTGCTTCAGTCACAGATTAGATTCAAAGTTGCTGAAGAGAGAAATGTGTCTTTTAATATGATTGTGGGACTATAAAAACACACATATGCAGCTTGACAGATACTCGGCATGCAGTCCTGTGTGTGTGTGTGTGTGTGTGTGTGTGTCTTAGCATGTGCAAGTTTCTGTATAGTATGTGTAGCATTAAAACTGACTGATTGTGATTGCAGTGGTGGCAGGGATTGTGATGAAGCTGCGTGTGTGCTGGGGGTGAATAATCAGCATCCCTCTGAGGTAATGGGGACCAGAAGGGGGGGGAGAGAGGGAGGGAGGTCCAGCCTGTGTGTGTGTGTCTGTGTGGGGGAGGTGGGTTAGGGCAGTGGTACATTGCCTCCTGGAACCCGGCCTTCAATGAAGCTCCCTCCGTAATGGGGGGCAGAGAAGTTAATTCCACTGCGCCGAAGCTTTATCTCATTTTCATACATATGAACGCACCGGGCCCGAGATCGATTACTGCAAACAAATTGAAATGCCTGGGACCAAGGGGGGCCCGCGGAGAGGAAAGCAGGAAAAAAGCAATGGGGGAGGTGGTGTGCATGTGTCTATGAATTTCTGAGAGTGTATAAGGAAGGCAGAATTCTCTGATATGGATGGAAAGACACAAATCACTACTGCATACTGATTTTTCTCCCCACTCGCATATATACACACACCTCTATTATTTAGAGTCACGCCTGAAAACTCAACTCATTCCAGTCGATGCCACCTTCCTTTTAAGAGATATTGCAAAAGGGAGCAACCTCCTGATGGCTCACTGAACGATTAGACTCCAAACAGGTCCTTTTTTCCTGTTTCCTCCATCTTCCTGGCTGCATGAGAAACCACTACATACACACAATCAGTTTCTCATTCAATGTCCCTTTCTCTCTTCATCTCTCATTAAACATAGCATAAAACAAATGTCCATGTCATTAGTCCTCTTCTATATTAGCACCGTCATTGACTCCCAATGGTCATTTTTGGCACTCGTTGAAAGTGCTCTCTGCTTCATTACGTTCTTTCCCTGACTTTCCTTCCTCCATTGTTGCTTTTATGTGGCCCCAGAATGCCCTGTTCTACTTCCTCGTTCATACTCTTTTTTTATTTTCTCTTTCCTCCTCCCTCCTTCTTGTTTGTAGCCGTGCCCCTGGCAATGGGCCTCTCTCACAGACATAGTTTTCAATATTTCCTCTCTGACTCAGCATTTCCTTTATCGGTCCTGTAAAACACACACACACACACACACACTCGATGTCAGCACATTGAACTGAAATAGAACAATGGATATCTGACTATCAGATCATTAAAGAAAACAAGAAAACCAATGAGCTGTTCTATAGTCAAACTATAGGCCTATCAAAGCACCACTAAGGAAGATACATTCACAGACACGGCCCCTCATGCTGAGGCCTTAGCTCAGTTTGTGTGACATTTATTATTGCCCACATAATCCTTTGGGCCAAGTGGATCGTCACCATCTGACACCCACAAAAATAACCTCCGGCCTTATTTTAGTCAACAGTATACGGAGACAAATAAAACGCAGCACTCTATCCTGCCTCATCACATTCATTTGTATCACTAATATACTGCATGGCACTTAAAGTGCAAAAGTAAAGTGGCCTAGAGATAAGACTGTGGCTGTTAAAAACAGCGTCCAGGTGTGAATTCCTGGAAAACAGCATTCAAACTCTGCTGTGTGTAACTAACACTTAACAAACATATGCCGTAACCAATAAAATAGGCTTGTTCTCTCCTAAAGTTTTCTGTTGATCTCTAAATACTATTTGTGACAAGAACCACCTGTCAGGGTAATATACTTTTAGATATTTTTGGGTTGAATTATAATAAAGCCTGGACAGGTCGGATTTTCTTTGGCTGAGAAAAGTATCACCGTCTTAATCACTCAAGCATAAGAACAACGGCATTAAATGTATATCCAAATCAGAAGTGGCAAGCTTTGTGTGGCGGCTTTGAAACTTGGATAATAGGCCAAGCTCACAGTCAGGTCAGTCTGGGGGGGCAATTAAATAGACAGGTCATAGTACAAGGCAAGCTGTAGTGACCTTTGTTAAACCCAACAGTTACACCCAGATGGTCAAGCTGCTGCTCACACTGCGCGAGGATTAGCACGGGCGCTAACAAACACACTATTGGGATTTAAAAGGTAGCTGCTTTGCTCACATTCTTTGCCGTCTTAACCCAAGCCCAATGACGCAAAATCCTTGAAAAGCGTTAGCGAAATCATATCCAACTGTAAAATAATCCTAGGTACAACCGATTCTTTATTTTTGATGCAACTGAGAGCAGCAGATGCAACTCTAGGTAACATTTCAATAGTATTTCACAGCAATGTTCTCTTTAGATATATGTTAGCATCTTAAGAGAACACCAAGGGCATGTGAGGACACAGTTCTTTCAGACCCAGTCTTTCTGCATTTCATCTGAACTTCATGCTCTTCTTTTGTTCCACTCTTCCTCTTTTCCCCCCATCCCCCCATCCCTCCACAAACACCACATCCAGTGTGCTGTCTGGGTGCCCTCACGCATCACTGCCTGGTGCTGCGGGCAAACTGGGCGTCACTCTGCATCATTCTGCATTAGACTCCACTGTATTAGCTTTGCTGTGTGTGTGCATGTGTGTGCGCATGTGTGTTTGAGAACATAGTCGAACGGCACAATTGTGCATGCATGTGCAAAATGTGTGTGTCCATCTGTGTAGGAGAATGCTAAATGCTATGTGTGTGTGCAACGCGTGAATAATGTGTGTGTGCCTTTACGGGTCAGAGCTGATTAATGCAGATCTGCAGTTGGAATGTGGTTTTAGAAAATCAGTAAGATGAGAGGGTGAAGTGTAATTGATCATGACACTCACCTTTGGGTTTCTGATCAGAAGCCTGCAGGGAAAACAAGTAGAATAGAGAGAGTAAGAAACTGAATAGTGAGTGGAATTGAAATAATTATTCAAAACATTATAACAAAACCTAACCTTTATTTAACCAGAAGAGGGCTAGTGTTAAGTATATGTTGATTATATGTGATTGAATAATGTTGTAATTGTTTAGGTCAGTTGTAGTTGCTCTACACAGGATGTTTGCTATTTCATTGAAAGCCATTAGTAAGAAAAAGATTGAAGGTTTCAAAAAGCACAAAATAGATAAGCACAGCTTCTTTTATATGTGTAATGTATGAACATGCATCATTTTCACCTTCACCTTTTCTGTGCGACGTCCGTCTTGTTCTTTTCTTCTTGTTTTTTTCTTTTTCTTTTCTTCCATCAAATGGTTCTCTTCCTTCTGTCGCTAGCTTCTCTCAGCTGTGAAACAAGAAAGGGAAAGAGTAATGAGTGGAACATGAAGGAGAACGGTAGGGATTCAGCTTAAGTGTCCATCCATTTTTCATTCTTATAATAATGTAGACCCAAACGCATCACACGGTTTACAAATTAAAAGACATTCAGGTACATTCACAAAAGAAATACCCTTTAAAAATGCACATTTATGTTCGCCAACTCGCCCCCTTTGCATATAAACTTTCAACCCCTTCCCTTTGATCCATGTGTAAGCCAGAGCCAAAGTGCACTCTGCATGGAAAAACTCCATCCAAACTAATCACCTCATAAGAAAATCATGTCAGACACTTCTGAGAAATAGTTTCCTTCATGGTCAAAATAATGTAAAAGGAGAAGGCGGAATGAAAAAGGGAAAGGAAAAATGGCACATGTGAATTAAACAAAGTGAGCTAAAGTAAGAATGAAGACTGTAAAGGCCAACAGAATAGGATGCAATGCCTTTTTTTTTGACAGAAATCTGCCTTAGTGGGCGTTCGTAGAACTAGGTAGATAGCTCGCCTGAGGACTGGGAAAACTAAGTGCTTATTTTCAGCCTGTATTTCCTTTAGCTCAGCGTATATGACTGCTCCTGGAAACTATTATAGGCACGGGCTGGGCCATAGGGAATGAATGAGTGTGCTTTTAGTCATCACTAAGTGCAATGGACACCAATTTATAATACGGCACTATGTCATATCAAATCAATGAAACCACTTTCTAAAATGTGCAACTACAATCGATCATCTTCATCTTCTATTGCTATTTGTTAGCCATCCCGCTGAATACATACATGACTGCTTTGTAAAATACGCTATTGTGCTTTACCCTCATGGACTTTTTAAGAATACTGTCCCAATGCTCTAGCAATATGTTGAACGTCATACTTAAAAAAATCTATCAGCCTTCTTGTTAGATAGGAATCGACTTCTATGCCAACAGATATCAGACGATCAATGAACCATCACCATGGTAGTCTGCCATAACAACAGAAGATTATTTGGATTGCATGTACTGCACTGTGTGTACTGCGTGTCATATTTCTGACCATGAAATGTGTCTTTGAGAGACCTAATAACGTCGGACTGCTTTGATAAAATGATAAATGTGGTCTGACAATTCATCATTTAAAGTTATTCATAAAAAAAGGTTGCCATTCAAACTTATAGTTTGTGATTTTAGACAGTGCATCCGCTGAAAAAGGCAAACATAATGATTCACAGTTTATGACGTAAAACAAATCCTTGTGAATGAAATTGAAAAAAAATAATAATAATTCCCTGACATGTAAACTAAACGCAACATAAAAATGGTGCCAAGACACGGCCTAGAAAATTAATAATGTGAATGTATGAATGAATCATAACACTCATAACAGAAGATTAATGAAGGCCTGCATCCCACTGTGCTGCCCACTGGCAGGGGGAGGGAGCTGTCAATCAGAAAGACAGGAGAGGCCTCACAGAGGCTCTCTGATGGCGGGGTAATGTCTCCATGGCAGTAAGAGGAAGAAAGAAGAGAGAGTAGAAAAGGGTTAGACAGACATACAGATGGGCAAGAGACAGAAAGCGGAAGAAAGACATTGAACGCTTGTCAACAGTGAGTTTTTATTTTATTTTATCCTGTCGTACTCGAATCACCGTAGTCATCCTAATTTGTTTGCCAATTGCTATTGTGCTGTCTCTCTGGCTGTTTATAAAAAAATGTAATTAAAAAAATAAATAAAAAATGCAAAAAAAGTGGTGACCTGTTCCGTCGTTTACACTGATAAATAACAACAACAAAAAAACGAGAAAAAAAAACCAGTGAGTTTAGATCCAAACCATGGGGAAGACTGCCAGACTAGTGGCCATGGCAGCAGGGTGAATTCAAAGAAAGGAGATACATCACATTACTGTTTTGCCTCAATCTGGATTTTCTTCTTTTCATTCCCTGTTAATGGTCTCTTTCCACCCCCTCTCTCTTGCATTCACACAGTCCTATTTTTCATACTGAGTGAGGAGTCTGTGTTTGTGCGTCATTGTGCCATCTCAGCAGCAATGGGGAAGGCAGCCCTCAGGTGATAAATAGGAGCTCACAGTATGTGTGGGTGTGTGTGTGCATTCAGATAATTGTATGCAGCATGTGAATGTGCAGTAGTCCATTTCTCAGTCATATCTCTGAGATGAGACACAGCGGCAGCATGCAGGCAGAGAAAGGGATGGGAGATGCAAATGGGAAGAAAGTGGCTTTTGCCATTAACACTGTGCTTTTTATTTTCACCATAAGTTGCAGCGCCTCTGAACTACGATTGACCGTGTCATCGTGATGGTCTCACATTTTAACCCAGATAATATGGTGGACCCAACCTATCCGGTTACTACTGCTGCTGTCACATAGAACAAGGAGTACAAATACTATAAACAGCCTTTAGTATTTTTTGTTATTTACTGTAATATTGGAGGCAGCCGGGTGTGGAATCCAGTTTTGTGAAATGTGAGATACCGGTTGTCTTTTGCGCTGACGTTGTCATTGCCAAAGTTAGCTTCCTCTTGACCTCCCCTGCCCCACATATTTCCTTACCTGCCTCTCCCTGTGTCCCTCCCTCTCACTGAGTACTGCTGACACTAGCACCTCCTCAGCACTGACCCCGGGGTGTTTTCTTCGCTGCCGCCCAGCATCAGGTTTACCCTCGCTGGCAGTATGACACAGCAATTAGGCAAAATATGTCCTGTTTTCAGGTTACTGACCTACATGGCCACAGTGCGTCTCAGTGTTCTCTTACATTGAAGGGACTTGGATCACCTTACAACATAATGTAGCCAGTAACTAAACTAGTAAGTGCATGCCCTTCTTGCCCTTAAACACAAAACCATTGGAGGATTTCTCATTTGTTGTCACCTTATCTAGGGTTTATTGAGAAGAGAAATATTAAAGCAAGATATCTCTGTATTGCTTTTAGATCAAATAGCACAGATAGCTTCAATGAAGTGCAAACTATATACTTCAAAGGAAAGCAAAACTTTTTTTTTTTTTTTCTTGCATCATGTTAGCTAGCAAGCTGTTTGCCAATTTCTCTACAGGGCATATGGGTTTTTTCTAAGTTGCAAATGTATGCAAAGCTGGCAGATGCTTCAGTTTGTTGGTCAAAAATGAGCTTTGATGCAAAAGCTAAGAACTTCTAAACCACAATGTTTCATCACAAAGCTATGTTGTATTCAGTGCACATATTCTATGTATTCATACAGCAAAACATTTAAACAGCATTAGTCATATTATAGTATATCATGTTGAATATCATAGTATTACTATCGTCCAAATCTCAGTAATACAATATACATGCACATCTCTACTGGGACTGATGCTTTAAGTTGCACACAGATATGCACGTCGTTAGAGCCAACATTTCTACTTTACCCCTAACATTTATAAAGCAATCCTACCTGAATACCCCCTTCTGCTCCCTCAAAACCCTAACCTAACAAATGTTGCTACATTGACTCTGTGGCTTTTCTTAAGAATACAGAGTTGAGCAGGAAACCATCCTAAGTCTAAGCAAACCGGAGCCGCTGGGAAATGTGGAGGAATTGCATAATGAGGCAGTATACCGTCTTCCTGTGCTGCACAAAACAGTTCCATATCCTGGGACTATAGGGCTAAGCTATAGAGAAGGAAGCATGTCAACAGGAACCCGCTGTACAGGAATGAAGGAGCTAGAAACTCACAACAAACACACACACACACACAGTCACATAACAACACACAGCTCACAGTTAAGCTTGATGTACACAGGCAGGAGGCAGTCAGTCTGATGTCTCTCTTTTTCCGCCAAGGATGCAGAGGAGATATAGGTGGGAGGAGGAGAAGGGGAGATGAGTATGGGGGGGGGGGGTGAGAGGAAGGGAAAACAGGCGGAGGATGAAAGCAGACGCAGAGCAACACCAATTAAGAACGACAGCCGCCGGAGAACCAGACATGGCACAGAGAGAAAGAAGAGAGACTATGCTGGGAGAGGGAAAACACAAAAATAATCCTCACTGGAGAAATGGAGGAGTTTGAAAAAAAACAAACAGAACGGAGCACTATTGAGGCTGGCAGACAAGGAGAGAGGGGGGAGGCTGCGAGGAGGGGGGAGAAAGAGGAACCAAAATATCTACGCACCTTGATCGCTAGTATCTAGAGATGCAGGGAGAAAAGCAAGGGGTGAGGGGGGGGAAAACTATGCGAGGGTGAAGGTTGAGTAAAAAGAGCTGAGCTGGTGTGAAGAAGACCGAGCAAGACAAAGGAGGAGAGACACCGAGAGAACTTGAAAGGGAGAAGAGATGCAAGGAAACGCCTGTCAGTTCAACCGCAGACACAACACCAATCCCCAAGGATGGAGGAGGAAGAAGAAGAGGAAAGACTTTCCTCTCTCAGCAAAAAAAAAGAAAAGAAAGTATGGTCAGGTTCTGTGGCCGCAGAATGTGGTAAATTCCCTCTCCACCAAAATTACCACACAGCTGGCAACCCATTCCTGTGGCATTTGTGAAGCCACGGGGCTCTCCGGAGCCTTATTACATGGAACATTATCATCCTTTACCTGGGAAATAACTCCCCAAAACTTGCTACTGTTGCTCAAGACCTCAACTACTCTCCACAAATGTGTGTGTGTGCATTTGTGTTCACTCGACCTGTATGGCTTGGGGAGAAAAAGCCTGTAAATTCCACAGTTGATATGCAGCAATAACATGTTTTTCTGTGAGTGTTTCCACCCCTCAGTCTCACTGGATGCTTGGTTTGTAAGCACTCCGCAACAACCAGCTTTGCTTTCAGCAGGTGGGGAGAGTGGCATGTGAAGAGATACTGCACACTTTAGTGCTACTAGGCTGGACTTGCTCAATGAACCGTGGCAGAAATATTCTTGGTTGTTGGAATCTGTAGACGAGGGACTGATTGAGGGCGAGTGGAGAGCAGCGATGAACGGCGAAGCAAGATGGAGAAAGAAAGTCAAAGAATCAGATATTGGGGGA